ATGTCAGAGCTGACATCTGTATGGCTGACAGATCTTTCTCTCCTTGACCTTCCTTGTCTCTTTCATTCCATCTCCAGAGTTTCCAGCCACAACTGCTGCCACCTCCTCCTCCCACAGCCCTCTCCTCCTTGTGCCCACCATTCCCCTGCCTGCTGCAGTGCAGGCAGCAGCACCCCCAGCTGACTATCACTCCGAGTCTGCTGAGTCCATGGATGAGATTCCTGTGGCTCAGACTCACCTCGGCAGCACAGCCCTTCACAACCCTTGTAAGAACAGCTCAAGCAGTGCTCGACGCTGTCCCATGTCCATACCTGATCCCAAACATTGCAAGGGGAAGAGTCTGTATTCTGGGCACAAGGTGAAAAGGAAAAGCTGCCAGCGAGACAGACATGTGGAACGAGATCTGGAACTTTTTTCTAAGACTCCTGCTGTGTTTGTAAGTAGGAGCAGTGGAGAACCTCATGTCTCTCAGCCCCGGGCTGGTGGGAGCACATCTGAACCACAGCACAGAAAATGCACCAGCAAACAGCATCTGGGCAGGCATGATCCATGCCTAAAGGACACAAGGACAAACACCACAGTGCCCGAGTGACCATCCTTCCAAAGCCACAGCCTTTGGGGATGAAGCAAGGTGTTCTATTCGTGTGTTTCTGTTCAAAGGTTTTGCTCCAGCAATTCATTCTCTGGTGACAGCAGCATCCCTGTGTGTGATGCTGTCCAACTTTCAGCATGCTTAGCTGAAAGGCAGCAAAAGCCCTGCTGCATCATATTCTTCTGCATTTCCTTCGTCTCTCAGGACAAGGGGAAATGGCCTTAAGTTGTGCCAGGCTAAGTTTAGGTTGGATATCAGGAAAAGCTTCTTTACAGAAAGGGTTGTTAAGCACTGGAATGGGCTGCCCAGGGAGGTGGTTGAGTCACCATCCCTGGATGTGTTTAAAAAGCATTTGGATGTGGTGCTCAGGGACGTGACTTGGAGGAGGGTTGTTAGGGCAGTTTGGTTGAGTTGTGGTTGAACTCGATGATCTTTAAGGTCTTTCCAACCTGAGCAGTTCTACGATTATGGCTGCTGCCTTCTGAGCTAGGACTGCCCCAAGTCTAGTTCCACTCTCTTTGTCAAGGGGAACGGGTTTTGCAGATAGAGAAGTGCCCAGGGCTGCTTGAGGTGGGCACTTTGACGTGTTGCCAGAGGGAACTAAAACAGAGTATTCTCCATTGGAAAGGGCTGTGTGCTCCTGACGCTCTGCAGTTAAATACTGCAGTAAGTTTAATGCTGTAGGATAAAACCAGGCTGCACCTCCACTCTCTGATACCCTGATTTTCCACCTGCCCCCACCCAGGCTTTGGATCGTGCCAGGGCGCCTCAGCTGGTAGTCAGGGAGTGACCTGAGGATTGTTCTGTCCTGTACCACTTTTCACTGTGCACCTTCAAGCCAGGTCCACCAGCATATACTCTAAAGCAGTGTAAAGATGCTCAACTGCATCTTTCCAGCAGCCTGCAGCGTCCCACAGTGCAGCTTTCTCATCAGAAACTTCTGAGGATGCTGCAGGTCTCAAAAGCTTTTCATTTCCTGGGCTTGCCAAGTCAGTATTAATCTACAGCCCGAGCTGCATGTTCTGTATTGCAAAAAATCCTGCACCTGACGCCAGGCCACAGAGCCAGTGCCTGAAGCCACTCCGTGGTGGTGGTGAGAACAGAGGGTGATGTGGGCTGCAAAGCCTGTGCTGCTCTGTGGGGAGCATGCCTTGCTTTGCATTCCTGACACTGGGGCCTGAGCTGCCAAGGAGCCCAGATCTGCCTAGCAGCCAGCTCCCTTAGAGCCCAGGATAGCAGTGGAGCAGCCTGCTGGACCTCACCAGCAGCACTGTGTGCCTGCCATCGTTCCTCACCTGACAGCTGCACGGCCTCTGTGGCCACCACCCTCAGCTGTGGTTGCCACCTTGGCTGTTTGCACCATGTCTAACAGCCCCTGTCTGGGTGTGATGGGGAGGGCTGCATGCCCTGAGTGCCAGCAGCTGGCCTGGTTCCCTTGGAAAGGCAGGGCACAGGGGATGTCTGAGCATCCAGCTGCTTTCTGTAGAGCACATCTTGTTCCAGGGCCATCTCTGGGCTCTGTGACCAGGAGTTTATTGTACAGGAGGGACAGAGAGCTGAGCTGTCCTGCTAAACATCTCCATGGGGTGGAGAATGACCCCTGAGAAGTGTCCTGTGTGCTTGGATGGGCTGGATCCCTCCCTGCTGTTTCTCCCTGTTTGCTGCTATCCAAGAGAGCTGCAGCCTGCAGTAGGCGGCCTTTTGAGGCCAGCTGTCCCATTACTCACAAAGCATTGGACATCCATCTCCAGCAGGTGCCCCTGAGTAGCTCTGTGTTCTCTTACCCTTTGCCCATGCAGAACCAGCCCCAAAGTTATGTATGGAGCTCTTTATTAGCTCTGTCCACAATAAAGTTTTCTATGCCCTTTGCTAAATAGTTTCTTCTTTATTTCTTCTGGCAGCCATTCGTTTAGCCACCTTGGTGATGCCCAGCTCTGCCATCCAGCACTGCGCCCCATCAGGCTTTGCCCTTTGGGTGTGGATGGCTCTGTGTGCTTTCAGAAGGGCTGCATTTGGGAAGCCCATGGGGTTTTTTGGGGGCCCAGTGCTGCAATCTGTGGGGATAGCCATGTGCCAGCAGGATGGGCTCCCAGTGCTGCGTATGGGCTCTGCTCTGCACATGGCAGGACTTTGTGTGCACGAGTGGTGTCTGACTTGGGTGTGTTAGGCATTAAGAATGCATACTGTGCATCCAGGAATGGAAATGGTGATGCTGCGATGTCCTCAGCTCCCAGGAGAGCTGCTGTGCCCCAGGAGAACCTCCTGAAGTGCCGCTCAGCATCTGACCTGCCTCCCACAGCAGGCTGTCCCAGCAGCAGGACGCGGTGCCCCAGGCTGCCCAGCTCCAGCAGGAGACACTGCAGCTTTTTAGAAGGAATGAGCGGCACATCCTCAGGATGCTGACAGCTTTCTGGAGCCCTTCCCAGCGCTGGGTTATAAATCATAGCCCCATCCACCCCTTTGCTTTCATCATGCGGTGTCTTCTCTTTGAAGTCAGGGTGACCTTCCTTTGGGAAATGCCTTTGATGTGACCGTGCTGGGAGGACCCCAAGTGAGAGAGGAGGACAGAGCTGTGACCCCTCTGCCCCAAACCTCACACCGTGGGGCTGGGCACGCCTGCACACCCCATGTGCTGTCAGACACAGCTAAGCCCCGCTAATGCCTTCTGGACGAGCCGTCTCCAGGGTTACCATATACATATTGCACAACCTCTGAAACACTTCCCTCTGTTTTGTAGCAACTTGCTCTATAGGAGCGGCGTTCCCACGTAACCTCATCCCACCCCGGTGCTCCCTGGTGGGCCGAGATAACTGGCAGTGCCCACGGGAGGAGGATGGGGTGCAGAGGGTGCGTGTCCCAGCTTGGGGTGCGCTTTGAGCTCAGCATCCCGTGGGTGACCCCAGTGTGGGATCCACGCCTGGCACAGACCGGGATGAGCATTGGACCAGCGCTGCTCCTCGGGTGCTGGGAACACCCCGATCCCTTCTGGAAACCATCAAAAGGGGAAAGTCCCTGGGGTCTGGGCACTGAGCCATGGCCATGCTCGGCCTGTGGGACCTCCTGCTTGGCTCCAGCCTGAACCCCGGCTTCCTCCTGGCCTTCCTTTTCCGGGCTGCGTGAGGAGCTGCAGGAGCCAACCCAGGACCCGGCTTTGACGCGCTCCGTCCCAACAGGGCTGTCATAGTGACAACAAATGCACAACAAACCCCAGCCCTTAGAAACCGAAACCTGACCTGCTCGACCCGGCCTGTGGGACAGCAATGGGGCAGCACGCCCGGCTCGGCTCCGGGCCCTTCTCACTTGGCTCCCCAGATGTGCCAGCCCTTGTTCACCCAGATGTGCTGCCTGTTGGGGATCCAGATGTGTCACCCCTCCGCTGCCAAGATGTGCCACCCTTTGGCCACCCAGGCTCTTCCGAGCTCCATCCCAGCAGATGTTCAGCAGCCCCTGGGGATATCCATTTGCAGACATGCTCGAGGGCATCGTGCTCTGGGCAGCTCCATTGGACCAGGTCACCTCCATCCTATGTGAGCAGTACAAGGCAGGCAGAAGAGGAGGGCTTGGTGGGCGCTTTGCAATAGCAGCATTTCTGCTTTTCTCTTAGTCTCCAGGGAGATAAAAAAAAATATCCAGAAAACAGCAAGAAAAATCCAACTTCCTCCTGGCTGCCATTGTGTGAGAGCTTCGTATTGCCTCTCAGCATGGCTCCGTGGACCCCCATCCAGTTCTGCTCCCAAAGAGCAGTGATGCAGTGGCACAGCTGCCCAGGGATGGGGGGGATTCACCATCCCTGGAGGTGTCCCAGAGCCGTGGGGATGTGGCACTGGGGGACGTGGGCAGTGAGCACGGTGGGGTTGGGGATCTGAGAGCTTTCTTCCAACCTCGGTGGTTCTTTGATGATGGAGGAGTGAGGATGGAGGATGAGGGAGGAAGGATGGAGGATGGCAGAGGGAGGACGCGGGGATGGAGCTGCCGATCCCTTCTCATAGAGCCAGGAGGGGCTCCGGCTGTCACAGCAGAGCCGGGTCCCCCAGCCTCCATTCCCTCCCGGCTCCCCCCGCACAACCGCTGCGGGCGGACACCTCCGGCCGTGTGTCGGTCCGGGCAGGGCGGGAGGGGGCGGCCCCGCGTTCCGTCCCGCAGCCCCTCCCGCAGCCGTGGGCCGGCGCGGCGCCAGCGCGGGGACTTAAACAGCGGCGGCGGCGGCGGCCGCGCCCAGAGAGCGGCACCGGGAGGTGAGAGCGGGACCGGCACCGGGAGCCGGCGGGGGGCGGGGGGCACCGCGGGGTCGGGACCGCTCCGAGGGACCCGAACCCTCCGTTAGGGGTCCGCATCCCTCGGGGCCGCGCCTTCCAGCCCTAGCGACGGTCGCTAGGCAACGCGGCCCTGCCCTTAGCGACGGTCGCTAGGCAACGGGGGGGGAGGGGGGGGGATGCCGCGCTGGCGACGGGCTCGGGTCTGGGAGCCGGCTGAGGGATGCGGGTGGGTGGTGGCCAGGATGGGGGTGGGCTGATGCGCTCGCATCCGAAGCCGCAGTTCCCGAAGGCATCTCTCAGCTGTCGGCAGCATCCCGGTGGTGAGGGGCCGCTCTGCCCCGACCCCGTCCTGCGGCACCATGGCGGGGAGCGCTGAGATGGCATCGCTGGAGGAGAGCTTCCGCAAGTTCGCCATCTATGGTGACACCAAGGCCACGGGGCAGGAGATGAATGGGAAGAACTGGGCCAAGCTGTGCAAGGACTGCAAAGTCATCGACGGCAAAAGTGTCACCGGCACCGACGTGGACATTGTGTTCTCCAAGGTGAAGTAAGTGATTGGGCTGGGGTCTCCCGCGTGTCCCCGTGGTGCTGATTGTAAATCGATGCAAATCTCCAGAATGGGGAGCTCAGATTTTGAAGCTCAGATTTTGATGTCGTGCACAGATGAAACAGGAACCCAACTTCTCATTCTGCAACAGGAGGATGCTCAGGGCTGTACAGTGGGGTGTGGCACAGCTTTGAGCTCAGGGAGGGCTCTGAGCTCAGGACCTGGGGATGCTTTTGTGGTCCCCGTGAGCATGGTGGCAATCAATGCTGCACCAGGGCGCAGAAGTGACAGTGGATGGGGATGCAGCTCCCCCCATACTGCTGTCTGGGTTCTCTTGTTCCCAGCTGGAACCAAGGGACTTTGGGCACTGAGGTGATGCCGATGGGGAAGAACAAAGCACAGCAGCTCTGTGCCAAACTGGGCAATGAGGGGAGGTCAGGAGCAGTGATGACAGATGCACATACCCTCCCATCACCAGCAACCAAATTCCCAGTGAGGTTTGGGCACAGAGGGCTGTAACACCACGGGCTGCAAAGCTCCTAGAGCCCATCCAGCCTGACCTGTGCAGCCCTACTGCATTTTGGAGGTGGCTGAAGAACCCCAGGTTGGGGGAAGAGCGTTTTGGGGTCCTCAGAATGCGGCTTGGACCAGCACAAGGTGATGCTCACAGCATATGTTTGGTGCTTGCAGAGGGAAGACAGCCCGCGTCATCAACTACGAGGAGTTCAAGAAGGCCCTGGAGGAGCTGGCCCCGAAGCGCTTTAAGGACAAGGGCAAGGAGGAGGCGTACGAGGCCATCTGCCAGCTGGTGGCTGGGAAGGAGCCCATTAATGTGGGCGTCACGGTGAGAGCCAGGGGCACGGGGTGAGGATGGGGCTCTGCTTTATGGGAGCCCTATGGCCACGGGTTTGGGTTCCCGGCGGGCGTCAGGAACCGGCATGGGGTCGGGATGCTGGCTGACCCGCTGTGTCCACGTCCCCGTGCAGAAAGCCAAGAATGTGGGCGCCGTGGAGCGGCTGACGGACACCTCCAAGTACACGGGGTCACACAAGGAGCGCTTCGACGAGACGGGCAAAGGCAAGGGGAAGAGCGGGCGGGAGAACATCGTGGACAACAGCGGCTACGTCAGCGCCTACAAGAACGCGGGCACCTACGATGCCAAAGTGAAAAAGTAGGGACTGCCCCACGCGCTCACCGCCTTCGGTCACGTCGGCCTCGGGACACGGCCGCAGGGCCTGGGAGGCTGCACCGGGGCCAGCCCCATGCTGGCGGGATGTCGGATGCTTCGGGCGAGCGGCCGGGCTCCGTCTCAGCGCCGCGTCCGTCCTTCGTGCATCACCCCCCGCCTCTGCAGCGCTGCTCCATGGGGTGCCCTGCCGGCACCTCGGCCCTCCCTACCTCAGGCCCTGCGGGACCGCAGCCCACCCTCCCCATCCCTGGCGTCGCAGCCTTCCCATCTCCCCGTTGGGATGCCGCTTGCCATGGGTCCCATCGCCCAGCACAGCTCCCAGAATGGGGTCCCAACCACCACCAAAGGTCCCTGAGCCCCCATCTCTGCACCCACGTGGGCTCCCACTGCCCCCAAGGAGCCTGAACCAAAGGATGCCGCAGCCCCGCGCTGTCACCCCGCAATAAAGCCCCCTCCGCACTGACGCCCCGCCTCTGGTTCCGTCCGTCTGTCCATCTCTCTGACCGCCTTGGCCAGCCCCAGGGCTCGCTTCCTGGCTGGCCCTGAGTTGCCTGAGCAACCGCAGGCACAAACACAGCGCCTGGCTCCGGCCCCCGCTCTGTTTGCAACCAAACACACCGCGGGCTCCTGGTAACCATCCCTGGGAAGCAGCCGCGCTTGGGCTGGGGTGGTGCGTGGGGCTGGGCGCTGCCACCCCAACGCCTGCAGTGTCAGCACTGCCCAAGCACCGGGCTGGTGCTCACAGTGCTCTAGGAGCTGCTCGTGGCTCGGCTGCCCGCCAGCTCACGTCCCTCTGCACCTCCCTTTGTAAAGGCAGGAGGCTGTTGTGCTGCCCCTAGGCTGGTGCTGGCATCGCTCCCTGGGGCTGGGGGTGTCTGCCCCACTTTGAGCAGGTCTTACGAGGGTTGTGGGGCTGTCTGTGCCCCTTGTCCAGGGTTCTAGCTGATCCCCATTGTCTGACTGCAAAAGGATGCATGAAATGCCCAGGGCTGGGCTGAACCACAGCTCTTGGGGGTCAGCACTTATGCTACCCGTCCCTGTCCTTCTGCATGTGGAAGATGCAGTGAGGCAGGACATTTTGCAATGAGTTGAGCAGCCGGGCCTGTGGGGCTGACCAAGGACAGGAGCAGCAGGGATACCCACATTAGGGCAGCTCTGCTACCTCCCTTACTGAATGGGAATCAGGCTGTGGGACCCCTGGGCACAATGGGGACACTGGGGAGGTGTCCCTGCGTTACTGAGAAGCTCATTAATGTGTTGATCTAATCACAACCTCTCCCCAAAGGGCAAAAGTGCTGTGTTTGCCCCAAACCTTAAAAGCTCAGTCATTGGCCCAAGGATCTGGATGTGCTTTTGGGGAATCATGACCCAACCACATGGCTTACAAATGGTGCGGATGCAATGGGCACATGGCTGGACCTCTTTGCTGGGTTGGGCAGCACTAACATCCCACTCCTACCAAGCCAGCCCCAAGGCAAGCAGTGCTGGCAAAGACCCAGCAGGGCCAACCTAAAGAACAACTTTGTCAATGGGGTGTTCAACATGGCAAGGAAGGTCTGGCCAACATTGATACGAGGCTCCCACCTAAGGGTTGGGAAGGTCCTGGTGATCACAGGGATAGCTGATGTAAAGAGGCAAATGTCATATCTTACTTTAGACAGGGTAAGGAAGAGGATCTGGAGAGCAGCCTTTCAGTCCTCGGGAAGGTGGTGGGGCAAATGCTCCTGGGAGGTAATTCTGGGCAGGTGGAGGACAGACAGATGACAGGGAATGGCCACCAAGGACCCACAAGGACAAGGCAAACCTGAGTAACCCCATGGCCTTCTACAACAAAGTAGAAGGGGAGAACAGGGGCAGGGTCAGTGGCTGGATGAGATTATCTTAGTGGTCTTTGATGACTCTATGACTCTATCCCATCTAGACATTAGTTTCAGCATGGTTTGCTCCAGGAGACACAAAGGACAGGACGGCTGGGTGGGTGGAAATCCGGTCAGGCCACCAGGTTCAGGCTGCCCAGTGAATCCTGAAGTGGTGCCACGGGCTGCTGGGGCAACAGAGGGCTTGAAACATCAGCAGCAGGGCTGCCTTCAGCCATGTGAAGCGACACAGCCTAAACGGAGGGCTTGCAGCCGCTTCCCTTTGCTAATGAATTGGCTCTGGCCAAGCATTTGCTTCAAGCTTGGCTCCACACCAGCTCCAGAAAGCCACTTCACAGCCAGCATAAGCAGAGGAGCCAGCAGGCAGAAGGTGTCTCGGCCAGCATTTATGTCACTTGCATTTATCGAGGTCCCAGCTCTAAGCTTGCAGCCCATTTTTTTCCCTTCCCATGTGTCCCCTTCCCTTGGCTTGGGAGAGAATATATGGGATGGCAAGAGCAGAACCACAATGTGTCACTGTCATCCCAAGGGAACCAGGAGGCCTGGCTGGTGGTGGAGGAAGGGAGCAAAGTCTTCAGGGCAGCAGGAACATGATGAAGAATACATGGAGACACAGAACCACAGAATATCCCGAGTTGGAAGAGACCCATCAGGATCACGGAGTCCTCCCATTCCTGCCCATTGGTACGAGTAGCTCTGCACCTGCTGAAACCAGCAGTCTTGGCCCTCATTAATTTATCTTCTCTTTCTGCAAGCTCATTCCTGGCACCTTCCCTTCCTGTGCTCAAGCAGATCCAAGGCTCTCCTGAGCAGAAGGCAGGTCCCTGGGCTATGAGCTTCCATAGGGAAAAGGGCCTCAACAGGGTGGGAGCAACCAGCCTTCCTCCCTGCAATGGGGGGTTAAAAAAGACCATGAAAAACTGAGGTTTCAGACAAACTCAGTTATAACTCAAAGCCTGAAACACAGAAGCATTATGGTTGGAAAGACCTCTAAAGATCATCCAGTCCAACCACTGACCCACCCCCACCGTGCCCACTGGTCCATCCCTCAGTGCCACATCCTCACGGCTCTTGAGCACCTCCAGGTTCTCCAGCACCTCCCTGAAAGATCAGGGAAGATGAGGCCATCCTCTCTGAAGGCAGACATATTGGTCATTGAATGCTAACTTCCAAGGGAAGCAACAAAACCTCTTCCTCGTGGCCACGTCGTTGAAGTGGAGCATCATTTATAAAGAGCAGATATTTTTGGCCTTGATGGGTGCATGGGAGCGACCTCCTTTACTGCAGGATTCAGCAGGTCCCCTTGCTAAGCACAGATCCAATGGGTAACGTGGCTGATGATGGGAAGCTTGAGACACTTTTTGAGCCCAATGAAGTCAGCCTGTGTTTGATCTGATGCCTTCCTGGGCTCCTTGCTCGGGTGTCATTAAGTTCACATAAATAAATCAGAAACTGAGGCCAAGAGAAGCAATCAGTGTCTGGCAGCACGGAGTGCACTGCTCCCTCTGCACAGTTCCGGGCTCTTGGCATGGGTGAAGCCCTGTGGGAACGCCAGCTCCATCCTGGAAACTGTGTGAGCTGCTCTGATGAACTGCAAAGCAGACGTGGTGAGGCTCTGCAGCATGAAAACGGCTCCGTGCATTTTGAATTCACCCCGTTTGAACGGAGCTGGTGCAGGGGAAAAAAAAAAAAAATTAAAGTTGAAGCTACAGCCCCACGCTGATGGAAAGAGTGATGCTATCCAGGTGGGACGCTACCAAAAGATGACCTTAAATTTCTGCTATATGAGCCATTTCTCTGCTTCCCTTGGGAGCTCCCAGGCTGATCTGAAATCTAAAAGGAAGGGCTAAAAGAATGAAAGGAAGGGCTTTGTGCTTTGACAGCAACCCGAGTGCCTGGGATGATGGGCTGGGCTCTTTGAGGGGTCATTTTAATCTGGATGTGTGTTTTGGGCAGCCCAAAGACCCCGGTTTGAATACAGATCTTACAAGCAATGCCAGGCACACGCTGAGGTTGATGCAGTAGCATTGCAGAGCAAATTGAATGAACTCAGTGACTTTCTTCCCAGCACGGCACGATCTCAGCTGAAATGTTATTAGATGGGAGCCATCCCCATGTCTTGTTAACCCAATAAGTGTGGCAGGAGGAGGAGGATAGGGGCAGATGATGCTGAGAAATGGACCGGTGCAAAGATCAGATTCTCCAGCAGGAGATGCGTGGGATATAAAAACAAACAGAGCCCACGTTTCATGGCTGTTCTGCTCTCCTCACGGAGGACAATTGCTCAGTTGCTGTGAAGCAAAGCTCGGAGCAGAGCTGCATGCAGATCGCAGCCGTGCTGCTCTCACAATGGGCTGATGGCTGAAGAATGGTGCATTTTTGGGGAGGATGAGCAGCTCTGTGAGCAGTGTGAGCGCTCCCTTTGTGTGGCTGTTGCAGCATGATGTGTTTGTGTTTAAAAGAGCTGGGTGAGATTGATACAGAAAAGACTCACGGGGCAGACAGGCACTCAGCAGTGTAAACACACTGTGATGGGAAAGACTGTTCCAAAAGGGGTAAACTGACTTCCATCTATTCAAATCCACATTCAAATATGCATACACTGAGGAAGCCTGTACTTCACCTCTGTATTTCTAGACAACTACAGCCATGACTCATTTCAAGATTGCATGCATTGCTGCCACACAGTGATTAATAACTGCACCCATTCCAGCTGTGTTCACCTGAAGCAGCTGGGAGCCCATAGAGGAGCCCATTGCAAAAGTCTCTCACTTTGATCCTTGATTCTTCCCCTAAAGAAGTAAATCTGTTGTAGCCAGGATATTCCTGACTCTCCACCCACTGAACTGGCACATTTCTAGCTTGGCTTCCAAGCCTGCAGCCTCAATGAATGAATTTGCCACTCTTTACACTTGTGATGAGACAAAAATCGACCAACCAACATCACCAAGGGCTGCAGAATGAGATGGGTGTTAAGAGGAATGAAACACTTCTCTGTGTCGGTGGCTGGCAGGCTCCTAGGAGCCTCCCCAACGCTGAGTGACCCATCTGCAGAGTGGTAAATGACACAACGCAGCACAAATGTAAGCAAACCTCTGTGCCACTGCTTTGTTTGTTTGGAACACATTCCTAAAGAAAAAAAGAAAAAAAAAACAACAAAAAACACAAAGCCATTTTCAAGGCATTCATGCATACGTGTGCAGAACCAACCTGAGCAAACAATAGCAGACGAGGCACAAAGAGATATTCAGGCATCCTGGCAGGGAGCCGAGCTGACGTCAGAAAACAAACCTAAACAGAGATGTTACTATGGATATTTGTTACGATGGGTGGTGGTGGTTGGGTTGGTTTTTTTTTTTAGGACTAATTGGGAACAAATTTGAGCTTTGGATTTAAACATTTCCTTGCAGCATCTGCACTGCTGCCCAGCCTGCACCGAGCATTTTAGACTCAGGGAGCCGGAGCACAGGGCTGCAGGTCGATGTGGGGTGAAGCCTGCTGTGCTCCTGCCCCACGTCGTTGCTGCAGATTCAGCTGGTGGCCTTGGGAAGGTCGTGCAGCCTGGCTGCCCTGGGATGTATAGCCAGCACCCTGCAGCTAATCACAAACTGAAGGTTCCACCTGCTGAGCTCCTTCATAAATCTGGCTTTACTTGCTTTCTTGAGGCAGAGCTTTGAGAACAACGAGGAGCTCTGCATGGGTGAACATCACAGCTGGCTCCCTTCTGCAGGTGGACCATGTAGGAATGGTGCCTTGCAGCCGGTGCATCCCGCAGCCTGAGGAAGGGAGCAGGAGCACTGTTAGAGAGCAGAGGCTCAGGCCTGCCTCTGTCTGTGACAGCCTGCAAGAATAAAACAAAACACAAAACCAGCGTGTGCAGCACATGGGAAAGGCAGCAATTCCTGCAACTTGGCCACGCATGGAGGATGATCAGGGAGAACTGCCTGCCTGAAGGCTTGCTGTGGAGCGGACAGACAGACAGCATTTCGGGGCTGGGCACGAGACAGAACCAGCAGGAAGAAGGCTACAGAGGCAGAACGATGGATGTTTGTTTGTCTGCTTTCCTGGGAAGCAGAAGCAGGCAGAGTGCAGCCAAACAGCTCCTCTCCGTGGCCAGCACAGATACTGATAAATAAACAACGCTGGGAATGGGTGAGAGATCTGGAAAGGATCCTGTGGGATGCTGCAATGGCAAACAGGATGAACAACAAGGAGGTGTTGGTTGGCCCCAGTATCTCTTAGGGGAGGGGGGAAAAAAGGCTTCTAAAATGCTCTGCTACAGACAGGAGGTTGATGTGTGCTCAGAGCCCTGTTCAGCCCAGACCCAAAGGAGAAGAGGTTGGAGGCTGTGGATGCCCCATCCCTGCAGGCATTCGAGGCCAGGCTGGATGTGGCTCTGGGCAGCCTGGGCTGCTGGTTGGTGACCTGCACGCAGCAGGGGGTTGAAACTGATGATCACTGTGGTCCTTTTCAACCCAGGCCATCCTATGAGTCAATGATTCTATGGGTCCCTATGGCGCCCCATGAGTCCCTGTGGATCCTTATGGCACCCCATGGGTTCTCTGGGCAGCCTGGTCTGCTGGTTGGTGACCCTGCACATAGCAGGGGGCTGAGTTTAGATGATCACTGTGGTCCTTTTCAACCCAGGCCATTCTGTGATTCTACGAGAAAAACTTGGCAGGGCTTCACCACCACCTCACAAAAATGAGAGCAATCCCAAAGCCCCAGGGCAGAGATTTCCAAACAGGAGCCGTGCCAGGAGACACCAGTCATCAAACTGGAGATACTTGCAAACCAAACAGGCGACTCTCAACAAACATCCACTAAGCCAAAGACAGAGGAGAGCAGAAAACCTGTGGGAACCAATGCCTGGGTGTAAGTGGGGCTGATCCCATGCACAAGGAGTGTCCAGAGCACATTGGATGGAAACCCCATTGGAAGACATCTTTTCTCTCAGTAATTAAATCAGGTGATTAATCCCTTCTCAATTTCATTATTACAAGGAAGCCGTGCTGATTAAGAACTTCACAATAAGGTTATCTTCTTATTGAATTTCTATTAGCATGTTGACAAAGAAAGAGAGCCAAAAGCACCACCAGCATCCATTCTATCAAGTTGTGCAGCAGATTTAGGCTGAGTCCTTTGGCATTTCTAGCAGAGGTTGAGGAGCTTCATGCAGCTGCCAGGTGAGCATCCACCAGATGGAAAGGCAAGTTCTGGGCACTACAGAGATACAAAAAGGCTGTCATGAAAATTCCCACCCAATAATCCTATCGGGTATCGTTTAATATGAGCTTTTCCTATGAAGTTACTGATAGTAACAGCATGTCCTGAAAGGCAAAAACTGGTGAGGAATTTCCAGTGACCTCCACAGGTAGTTTAAACTACATTTTATAGGGCTTGAAATCTAAAATACTGGCTGGTCATTAACTTACAGTGCCACTAAACCAGCCTTCGTGGTACCGCGCTGCTGGGGTGAGAAGCACGCAGAGCTCTTTCATTTCTCAGCTCATGCCTTCAGCAGTGTCCTAAGGGCAGTTAGGAGGGCTCAGGAACAGCCAGGGCAGCACAGTGACTCCATCAACCCGACTCCATCAACCTGACTCCATCAACCTGACTCCATCAACCTGCTCTACAGAGGTGTGTGCTCCACTTAGAAGAAGGACCAGAGACTTTAGAAATAAAATGCATGCCAACAGCTTTATAACGGTCTGTAATTAGGAATTAAAGGCTCTCAGAGGTGCTGTATGTGTATTTATTTCACCTGGCTTGGTGTTTAAAAGATTTCTACGTATTATTTGTCTCTCCTTTCAACCTGAGATAGGTGCAAGAAACCAGAATCCCACCAGCCTGCTTCATGGCACTGCCCACAGCCATTCTCCAAGCACTGAATCCCTTTGACAACAAAGCTTTTAGACCAAGAATGGATCCAAACTGTCCAAGCTGCTGAGCACAACGGTGACCATCCAGCCTTCCCCAGCACAGCGTGGCCTTGGCTGGAACATCCTCAGCAGCATCAAATTGGTTTAGAGGGAGTGGATCAGGTGTGACAGGAGAGCGAGAGCAGCAGAAGCTGCATAGCACAGCTGGATGCTTCAATTCCACGCTGCACCACTGCATGCGAGAGCACAATTGCAGCACGACGGGATGCTCACACAGCTCCAAAGACCACAAGAGCTGCTGCTACTCAAAACAAAACCTCTCCTTTTCACTCTGAGATGGAAAACGGTTGGTTAGAACTGCAGGGAGCAAAGGAAGCCAGGCTGGGCTGGGACCCTCCCACCTCGTGCAATGGATAAACCCCCGATTTTGCATGAAAGCAGCGGCTGCCTCCGTGCACATGGCAGCGATAAGGCGCAGATCTGATGAGAGGTGAGCACACAGCCATGCTGCAGGCACAATCCCATCAGTGCCACGCGGCGATGCAGACGCTGCTCCCCGCACCTAATTACGCACCCTCATTAACGATGCAGCAGCTTCCATTAATTTATTTAAGCACAACCCCACTTTCCGCATCGGGAAAGTAAAGAACGACAGCCGTTCGTTGCTTCCTCACCGCATGGCTCCGACCTACTGCTGCAAGGGCAACACGAGCATCTCCCCCATCCCCTCTGCAGCCCCTTTTCCCCCCTTCTGCAAAGCAGCAGCCGTTCCAGCCGCCTTCCCATCCCCTCGCAGCGAGGTGTCAGCTGTTTTCCCAGCTAAGAACATCGGATTTGCCCCCCAACCCCCCCCCCACCCCTCGTGCCCCCCAGCGGCCGCTCTCTCTCTCCATCCCCGCCCGTTGCTGCCGTTGCTCGGCCGGCCGCCATGGAGGGGCAGAGCCGCTCTGTGGGTCCCAGCCCTCCTCCCTTCTCAGGGCCGTGCCGGGCTGCCCCATTTCGCGGTGTTTGAGTGGGAGACAGCAGCCTCTCAGCTGCAGGGCGGTGCTGGGGCTGAGCAGCGCTGCGGGTGTGCAGCTGTGTGAGCTGCAGAATCCCAGAACGGCCAGGGATGCCACACGCAGGGCCACCAACCTCCACGTTTCACACCAACCCAGGCTGCCCAGGGCCCCATCCAACCTGGCTCAGCTCTCACCTCCCTTCACTGCTATTTGTTCCTTGGTTTCCTTCTTGCAGCCTTTCTGGGAGGGGAAAAGGCATCCCAGTTTCACACGTTACCTTCTTCCTGCTGCAAGAGCTGCGTTCTCCATCTCCAACACCAAACCATCCCCTCGGTGGCAGTGGCACAGCAGGCCGGGCTGCATCCCTTAGCATTCCTGCACGCTGTGCTAAACCACAGCCAAACCCACACGTGGGTGTGATGCAGCAGCAAGAAAAAACTGCCTGTGGGGCTTAAAAGCACTGGGAGGGCGGGGAGGGGGCAGGCCTCTGTGCCCAGGTGGTGCTGATAGAGAGAGGGGTGATGGCCTGAGGAGGGCCAGGTGGGATAATGGGAACTATCTGCCCTCCCAAAGAGCAGCGAGGTGCTGGCAAGGCTGCCCAGGGAGGTGTGGAGTCACCTGGAGGTGTGCGGAGCCGTGGGGATGTGGCACTGAGGGACGTGGCCTGGAGCGGCCATGTGCGCGGGTCGATGGTTGGACTGGGTGGCCTCGGTGGGCTTCCCCACCTTAATGATGCTGTGATTCTTTTTCCCTGCTACTCGGAGCTGTGTGGGAGGGCGTGCAGGTGTTTGTTTGCGTTTTGTTCCAGTCTTGTCATAACAAAAGCACTGGGTTGGGTCAAACCCTGACTTTTCACAACCGGTGACCACAGACGCACACTAAGGAACGACAGTAGGGATGTGATGCTCTAGGCCACTTGCCCCGTGCTTTGTTCTTTAACAAGATGCTTCAAAACCTGTAGTATGGATGCTACCTAGGAACTGAAAATGAAATCATAGAATTCTTAAAGTCAGAAAGGCCACCAAGGCCCTGAGCCCAACCACCAGCCCATGCCTGTTGCCACTCCAGGCCACGTCCCTCAGTGCCACATCCACTTTTCTCTTGTCCGCCCCCAGGGACAGTGACCCCCATCCCCCTCCCTGGGCAGCTGTGCCGATGCCTCACCACTCTTCCTGCGAATAAATTGTTCCCAATATCCCACCTGGTGCAGCTGATGGAATCTTTATGGTTGGAAAAACCAATGGGAAACGCAAAGTCCAATGGAATTTTAAATTAAGATGGCACGTTGCTTCAGAACTTACAGGTTCATTCTTCCTTTTGACGTGTTTTCCTCTTCTTTTTGAAGGAACCGGAGAGCACTACTGAACCAGCAGAAGAGTCAATTAATTTTAATGTTGGTGGATGGTATTTCTCACTTCCCAGAAGCAAAGTCGCTCAGTTTCCTGACTCTGTGTTGTGGAAGGAGGCTTCTGTACAAGACTGGTCTGAAAATCTGAGGTTATTTATTGACCAAGATGGTTTTGTATTCAGGCACCTTCATTATTACATGCAGACTTCAAAATTGTCTTCTCTCAGCTACACTGAATTGAATTTATTGTACGAGCAAGCATTAGCTTTGCAGCTGACACCTTTAGTACAGGTAAAATGGGGTGTTCTGAGTTACCTAATACACACATAGTCATTATTAAGAGATGATATATATTTATTTCTTAGCTAGCACCATCTGTACGAGGATGTCAGGGAATGTGTGTGTGACTTTATCAGTGCTTGTGATGTATATCCAAGCAAATAAAGAGAAATGACCACACTTCCACAGCAGAATCTTTGCTGTTTCTGGCTTTTAAGTGGCTGTCAATGCCACCTTGTTCATTCACAGGGGTATTTAATGTGTGTGCACTGGAAGTCATAACCATGGCCCTGTATTCGCTTTGTACTTAATATCCTGCAACAGTGAGCAACCATTTGTTCCAGCTTTAAAGGAATTTATTTATCATCCTATGAAAGATTAGGAAGTCTAGAGACTGCAATTAATTACTGTAACTGAGCCATAATTGAGCCAAACGTCAATTCCCGTTTCCAATCAATGAATTCCTTCAATGTGTGGGGTAAAAATATCACCAGGAAGAGCTTTTCCTGTTGCCTTCCTTGGCTTTCTCTGTTGCTGTGCACTTCTACACGTGCCAACCTCTTGTAGGGAGCCAGCTTTAGTGGGCAGTTGTTCCCCAGAGATCCCTGCCAACCTCTAGGACTCTTGAATTCCAGAGCTAGGATGGAAACCAGTGCCATCAGAACTCAAGTGCTGCAAAAACAGTTGGCTTTTTCTGGAATATATGAATGGCTCTCATTTTACCCCACATTCCTACAGATGTTCTCCATTCATTTTGTTGTTTTTTTTTTTTCCAGCTAACTTTAGGCATCAAAATGTGAGGAAGGTAATCTGTGTTTGTTCTTGTCTGTGCACAACACTCCATGGCATGCTGTAGTAGATGTGAGCTGCAGCATGGCATGGGTTGGACTCCTTCCTTTTATTTCTTGAAGTACCACATAGAAAAACTTTATGTATTTGAACAGCTTTTAGGCAATTTGAAGGAGGACAGTTCACGTGTCCAACCTGCAGATACACCAGTAGCTGAAAGAGTGCCTCTGAATAACTGGAAAACACAAAAACGTGCCAACAAACCATCAGAGATCCCTCCTAAAAGCCCAGTGTTTGCAGGTAGGTGTCCCACACCCCTCCCAGGTTCACTAAGTGAGGTTCCTTTGCTGGGTAACCTGGAGTGAGCCCAGCTCACAGCTCTCGGTTGCTGCAAAGCTGAAGGGATTTGAGTTGTTTGCTCTGCTTTTTGCACATCTTTTTCCCAGATGTCTCATCACGGGAACATAGAAGGACATACATGTAACTCTTGGTTGGGTGTTCTTGTCTTCAGCATGCAGGAAGCTCTATAGAAGGGACTTCAGAATTCTTTTGCATCCTTAGGGATGCTTGCTTGGATTACTGCGAGCCAGGAAGTTCTGTCTTTATCTAACTCTCCTCTGCTTTTCTGCACCTAGGGTTACACGAAAGGACTCCCCTAGGACTGGTGGATACACCTCTACTCGATACAGAAGAGGAAGTGAATTACTGCTTTTTGCCATTAGATTTAGTGAGAAAATATCCAATGCTGGTCAATGACGACAACCTGCTGTGGCTGCTTGAGAACGCGGCCCTGATCGAATGTGATTACAGTGAATTCCGCTTCATAGGTAACTATTTTTATTGTTATGACACATCTAAATCATCTTTAACTAAACCATTTCTTCCTATCTCCAGCAATACTTCTTTAAAGGCTGGAATCTTTCAATATGTATTGGTTTGGTTTTGCTGTCTGCCAGTTTCACAGCGTTAAGAAGGGAAACGTGCAGGAGGTGCCTGCTGGAGTCTCATACCTAAAATTACCCACTATGGTCCCACTTATTTATCTTTCAATAGTCTAATGGTTTGCTAAACTAAAGTGCATTTTGGCATCAGGAACTGGAACTACTGTTGGCATATGGGAAAGTACACATTTAAGGGCACATTGGGATGGAAGTATGTCTGGGAAAAAGAATCAGCCCAGCCTCTATCGTGAATTTCTTAGGATGCAATGATAAACAGAACTAACCTGGTTCTGTGCTTAGCCGATTATCCACGCTCTGTTTAGCCTCCTCCAGCACAAGCCTCATTTGCAGGCTATCACTTTCAAAGGCATATTATCTGCTGTGTGTGTGTGTATAGGAATGGTAATGCTGCAGGAAATCATAGAGAAACCTTTTTGCCAGACCTGAGCACTGGGCACAGGATGCCCACGCACACTTTCCATGTTTTGTGTTTATTTTCAAGTTAACTTTCTCCGTTCCAAGAAGATGTTGCTGCCTGATGATTTCTCCAACATTGATGCCTTGGAGGAGGAAGCTTTAACTTTGGGAATCCCTGAACTTACAGAGGCTGTGAGGATCTATAGAGGTAACACAATGTACATAGAGGGAATTTGATAGTGGCCTCTCAGTATGTAAAAGAGAGCTATAGGAAAGAAGGGGACAGAATTCTTAGCAGGGTCGGTTGTGGTAGAAGAAGGGGAAATGGTTTCAAACTATAAGAGGGGAGATTTAGGCAGGATATACAGGAAGTGTTTTAGGATAAGGGTAGCAAGGCATGGGAACAGCTTGCCCAGAGGGGTGGTGGTGCCTCAACCCTGCAGACAGCCCAGGTCGGGCTGCACGGGGCTCTGAGCACTGATGGAGCTGTGGGTGTTCACTGCATTGAGTGGGAGCAGATGGCCTTTAAGGTTCCTTCCAACCCAAACCATTCTATGATTCTACAAACTTCATGTACATTGGCAGAGCACAGAGGGGCTGTGGAGCCTCCCTTCTTGAAGATATTCAGAAGCTGTTTGGATGTGGCCCTGGGCACACTGCTCAGGTTGGCCCTGCTGGACTGGGTGACCTCCAGAGGTTCCCCTCCAACCTCAGTCTGTCATTCTGTCACCACTACATATATTCTCATGAGCACTGCATTTAATAATCTCTTGTGAAATTAACTATTTCGAACAGGAATGGTATTAATACAGTCAACTGTGAACTAAAAGTCATATCATAGAATCATAGAATCACCAAGGTTGGAAAAGACCCACAAGATCATCCAGTCCAACTGTCTGCCTATCACCAATAGTTCTCACTAAACCATGTCCCTCAACACAATGTCTAAACGTCCCTTGAACACCTCAGGGTCAGTGACTCCACCACCTCCCTGGGTGGCCCATTCCAGTGCCTGATCACTGTTTTGGGGAAGTAGTATTTCCTAACATCCAGACTGAGCTTTACCTGGTCAAATTTGAGGCCATTCCCTCTAGTCCTAAAGATCAACTCCTTTGCATGGACATTTGATCTGCTGGGAAGTCATAGAATCATAGAATGGTTGAGTAGCCCTGCAGAGAAGGACCTGGGGGTCCTGATGGATGAAAAACTTGACATGAGCCAGCAGTGTGCTCTTGCAGCTCAGAAAGCAAATGGTATCCTGGGCTCCATCAGAAGAGGGGAAGCAGGAACAGGGAGGTGATTGTCCTCTTTACTCTGCTCTTGTGAGGCCCCATCTTAAGTACTGTGTCCAGGTCTGGAGCCCCCAGTACATGAAAGACAGGGAGCTGTTGGAGAGGGTCCAGAGGAGGGCCACAAAGATGATCAAGGGCCTGGAGCACATCTCCTATGAAGACAGGCTGAAGGAGCTGGGCTTGTTCAGACTGGAGAAAAGAAGGCTGTGGGGTGACCTCATTGCAGCCTTCAGTACCTAAAGGGAGCCTACAAACAGGAAGGGAATCAACTCTTTGAAAGGGCAGATAACTGCAGGACAAGGGGAAATGGTTTTAAGTTGAGGGAGGGAAGATTTAGGTTGGATGTCAGGAGGAAGTTCTTTACAGAGAGAGTGGTGAGGAACTGAAACTGCTGCCTTGAGAGGCTGTGGATGCCCCGTCCATCCCTGGAGGTGTTCAAGGCCAGGTTGGATGGGGCCCTGGGCAGCCTGGGCTGGTATTAAATGTGGAGGTTGGTGGCCCTGCATGTGGCAGGGGGTTGGAGCTTCGTGATCCTTGAGGTCCCTTCCAACCCAAAACATTCTGTGACTGTGTGTGATTCTGTGAGTTGCAAGGACCTTAAAGGCCGCCTGCTTCCTCTCCTTGCAATGAGCAGGGACACCCACAGCTCCACCAGATGCTCTGAGCCCCATTCCCTGACCTTGGCTGTCTGCAGGGACGGGACACCACCACCTCTCTGGGCAGCCTGTATCTCACTACCCTTAGTATAAAAAAAACATCTTCCTTACCTCCAATCTAAATTTCCCCTCTGTTAACTAGAACCCGTTTCCCCTTGTCATAACACAACAGCCCCTGTTGAAGAGTCTATCCACTTCCTAGAATCATAGGATCATAGAATCACTCAGGTTGGAAAAGACCTTAAAGATCATCGAGTCCAACCACATCCTGACCATATTACCCTAACAGCCCTCTGATAAATCACGTCCTTGAGCACCACATCCAAACGATTCTTAAACACATCCAGGGATGGTGACTCAACCACCTTCCTGGGCAGCCTATTCTGTGCTTAACAACCCTTTCTGTAAATAAATTTTTCCTAACATGCTGACTGGGATGTTGCACTCCCCTGGTGCAACTTGAGGCCATTTCCCCTCATCCTGTCACCAGTGAGAAGAGACCAGCCCTGCTCTGCTGTAAGACCTTTCAGCTATTGGAAGAGAGCAGTCAGGTCTCCCCTCAGCCTCTTTTTCCCCAGACTGAACATCCCCAGTTCCTTCAGTCTCTCCTCGTAGGCCATATTCTCCAAGCCCTTCACCAGCCTTGTTGCCCTTCTTTGGACCTGCTCCAGCACCTCCATGTCCTTTCTTTACTGAGGTGCCCCAAACTGAACACAGTACTCCAGGTGAGGCCTAGTTCTTTCGTTTATAAATACTGAAAGGCCTCACTCGGGTCTCCCCGCTGCCTGCAATTAGCAATTAGCAGCAACTCTCGGGAACGAACCCCTCGTCCCGTCGCTTGCAGGCGGCGTTGCGGCGCGGCGCGGTGGCCGCGGGCGGCGGAGCGGAGCGGGGCGGCGGGCGGCGCGGTACGCGATGGCGCTGGGGCTGCTGCAGCACTACCCCGATTCAGCACTCGGACAGCTCCTGGTGGGCAGCGATCCGGCCCGGCGCCGCCTCCACGTGTGCGGCAGCGGGGTTCTGTTCCAGCACGCCAGGTATTGGTGAGGACTGGGATCTGTGGGTGTCCCCGGGGCTGGGAGCCCGTCGGGAGGGTTCTGGGATTGGTGATCCCCCGCGGGATGGTTTCTGGATAGCTTTTTGTGCTCGTCTGCCTCATCCAAATGGAACGCCGTGGACATAAAATGGCACCTCGTGGGATAAACTTGATGTCATGTAGGGATTTTTCATGCTGAATGTGTTCTTTCTGAAGTACCTTAAGTAATAGAATCGTATATCGTGAGACCCATGAGGGCCATTGAGGCCAACTCCCACCCCTGCACAGGGGAATCTAAGCGTTAAACCATATATCTGAGAGCACTGTCCAAAAGTTTCTTGAATGCTGGCAGCTGTGGGGCCATGACAGCACTCTGGGGAGCCTGTGCCAAAGCCCAGCAACTGGCTATTGAAGAATTTCTTCCCAATATTCAACCTGAAATTCTCCTGATGATTTAAGCCATTCTCTCATGCCCTGTCACCAGTCACCAAAGAGATGAGCACTTCCCTCTCTACTCTCCTTGCACCTTTTGGCCAACATCAAATGTAGCACAAACACATACTACCCCACCTCTAAAGGATTATGGATAGACAGCAGCGTGGTGGAACACATAACCACCTCCTCTCTGCCCCCAGCATTTTGTCTGCTCTACCTGTTGTCACCAGGGAATGATGCAGTGTGGGAGAGACACTAAAAGTTTCAATTGCCAACCATTATTTGATGGGTCGAATGCAATAGCTGTATTTGTGGATGCGGGATTGTTCAAGGTTCCTGATGTAAAAAGTGATAATAAAAAAAAAAAGTTTTTTTTTTTTAAGGGTGAATTTATATTTACTGCCATTAATATATAAGCATATATGTAAAGCAGAAAAATAAAGATAAAAAAAAATATGACTTCTCCTTTTGGACAGGAATTGGCTGGGAACTTGCCGACTTCCCCTCACTGAGAATATTTCTGAAATCCAAGAGCTCTGCGCTTACTTGGACAAAGGGGACATCAGCTATGAGCCAATGAAAGAAGCTCTAAAATGCTATTTGAAGCAACAGATGCCATCAGAGAGCGGAGATTACAGTAAGTCACAGTTTTTCAAAAACTCTTCTGTTTTAAATTATAATGAGCATTTTTGCCTGAATGCAGTTAATGAATGATCTTTTTCTCCTGGCTCTTGCTTCAGCCTGTAGGATCCTAATTGTCCCCTTTCCATTTCTTGCTCCGTTTCCAGATGCAGACTGGTCAGCAGAAGTGTCAGTATGTACACTGCATCAGATTGTGAAGGTTTATGTAGGAAGTAACTGGTATGAAACTTACTTGCAGACTTTACTGAAGGTATGAATAACTGATTGAGCTGGCTTAATGTGACTCTTCCTAAGTCAGAATCTATAATTCTACAGCAACTAGGCTAAATTTCTAATAATAGGAATTATTAGAATGGTTTTGCCCTGAGTACTTTATTAAATAGAGTATGTTCAGGTACGTGAGGCAAATAAATCTTGTACTTATCAAGAAAGTACTTTCTGGGCTAATAAGTCATGGGGCTAATCAGATCAGCAGACTTGATGGATTTGGTTCAGTCTTCCTCCTGCTACCATAACATCTTTTTTATTTCTGTAGTACCCAGAGCTGCTCTCGAATGACAAGAAAGTCTGTTGGATCATGTATGGTCAAAGTCTTCTAATCCATGGAGACGGGCAGATGTTTCGACATGTTCTCAACTTTCTAAGACTTGGGAAATTGTTTTTGCCTGCGGAATTTAAGTAAGAGTGAATTCATGGGTTTCTGTGATATCAGACGGTTGTAGGGGAAACAAGCATGGGCATCTGGTTTCTAATTTTCATAGAAATACTATCCAAAAAAAGGAAGAAATCTATTTTTGGCCATGAAGCAAACTGTTCTGTCTGAAAATAAATTGTTGGAATTTAGAGATAATTGTGAGATCAGTTTTATTTATTTATTTTAATGAGAGGTAGAGCAGACCTTTGTCCTGTGGTGAAGACCACAGATGTGTGCGCTGTGCACACCCTTAGCAAAAAGAAAAATGTTTTTTTTTTAATTGATGGAAACCATTGCATCATTCTTCAGTTGTGGGTTTTTTTGGCTGGTTGGTTTATATTATATATACATATATATATGGATAGATAGATAGATTGATAGATAGATAGATAGATAGATAGATAGATAGATAGATAGATAGCTGGCTGGCTGGCTGGCTGGCTGGCTGGCTGTCAGGGACAGCAAAGCCTGAATTAGATCAACTGAAAAATATTTCATCTGCACCCTCTACTGGTATCTCTGTTTTAATGCTGAAAAATCTCTTCCAAAACCACAGTGGTACAGGAAATCAGGAACACTGGGTCCCTAAGCGGGAGAGAGTGCTCTTCCTCCATAGGCATGCCAGTCTGTGAGTTCTCTCACGTTTATGAAACATCAGAAATTGTGATGGCTTCAACATCTATCTCCTAAGGATGTTCCTACAGCGTGCTTCCCTTGCCCATGAGGTTGCCCAGTGCAGCTGCTTGGTGCCTTGGCTCCTTGTAGGGGACTGGTGCTTCTCCTGCCGCTGCCCATCAGAATTTTTGCCTTCAGCAGTGGAAGACATCAGAAGATCTGCTTTCTTCAGTCTTTGAAGCCTTTATTCAGCTCTAATTAGCGGGCTCTCTTCAGTTCAGATCAAGGCCTTTTATGCCACCAGCTGATGAGGTCAATTTTAGCTCAGTTAGCTGTTGTATATATTTTCATTCTTTTTCTCAGTGTCAACAGAAACATTACACTGGTGGCTGCTTCAGTGCATTAATCCCTGTTTACTTTCATGGCTGACATCAAAGGCACACAGGAAACTGAATGTCAGGCACTATTGTCATATCTGTGCCAACAAACTAAGTATGTCTGGGAATGTTTTTGGTCATGGAATTTCTGCTGGTGACCTACCTTCACCTCCCAGAGGGGCTGCTTTCCCTCCTCCTGTCCTCTGCAAACAGTTCTGGTTGGCCAAACCATGCCTGGGAATTGTTGGAAGGGCAGCACACGGGACAGGACTGACTGCAACACCAATCGGTTGGTAGTGGATGGAGCCACATCCCAGGGCTGAGAGCATTTCTGAGAGTGAAGGATTTCTTCAAATCTGTGAATGTTCATTATGGGATTTCCTGTGGAAAATGCTCGGATGAGTTTTCAAGACAAAGAAAGTGTCATGCACATCACAGAACAGGACTTTTGCTTCTCAAAATCAGGTCTTTGTCTTTCATACCCATGGTTAATGAAAAGAGGAAAAATAAGAACGGATATTTTCACTTAACCAGTAGAGAATAGCATAGAAGACAGTGGTAGTTAATGCTAAGATTCCTACTGCTTTCAATAGAATGAGATTTTTTTTTGCTTGTTGTTGAGATGTTTGGTCTGAAACATGCAATGCAAAAAGGTTGGTTTGGGCACTTTTGGGGTATTCAAAGTGATAGGCTTTTTGTCCACAACGTTGTAAGGGAAATCAGTGCAGTGAGTGCATCTTTTGTTTTGTGCACTGGCTGCTTCAGCTTCCAGAATTGATGTATAATTGGAAAAGGTTGTTAAGACTGTTCATTCAGTGAATTTACTGTGAATTTACACCTCACAGAGAATGGCCTCTATTCTGTCAAGAAGCAGAGGAGTACCGGATCCCTTCCCTTTTGGAGGCACTTCATCACTGCGATGAGTACAGGTAGGTAAAATATTTCTTCTTTCTTTTGCTTTTCTCTAGCATAACGTGCTTTCATTTGACTTAGCAGTAGTTGTCTTTCTCAAAGCAGCACAGCTTTGTCACTGCCTTCTGAGATACAGCCCCTGCAGGATGAGCACTTCCATTCTCTTTTGGGCCATGCTTTTTCCCCATTAGTTGTATGGATACAGAGACAGAAGAGCCTTCAGCTCTCCAAGAACTGAGAAAATAGGTAACTGAGATCTTCCCCTGATTCTAGATAGGGAAAATGTTGCATTTCCTTCAGGAAACCATTGTACAGAGATACTGGACTGAATGGAGATGTTCCTACTCAGTAGCTTGGGCTCAGACCTGGCTTTGCCAAACCCCTGCTGGTTTCTGGAGACCTCCTGGAAGATTTGCTCTGGCCTTATAAAGTCTGTGACTCTGCAAAACCCATTTGTGTATGCTTCATTTCCTGTGTTCTCTGGGGACCCAGATTGGGTTCTTACAGCTCCTTGCTAGATCACTGGCCAGCCCAATGGGCAACTTCTCCAATCTGAATCTATGGGCAGCTCACTGGGAAGCAGAGAGCAGCAGCTGCTCTGTGCTTCCAGAGCTGTTTCACCTTTTCAAAAGCTCACGTGCAGCTCAGGCAGTCACCACCAGGAGCTCGCTTTCTTCAGAAGGCTTAAAATTCAATTTTGATTCCATGCACGTAGATGATTGGCCTGGATCTGAATAGCTTTCTTCCCAGAAGTATGTAGTGCATCTTCACCAAAGAGAGAGAAAAACAAACCCCAAGTCTGATTTATCAGCAAAGCTCACATAAATCCACTGGTCAAAGTTTTGTGGATGCTGGAGCAGAAATAAAGATCATTTTTATCTGCAGCATCACAGTTCAGAAATTCTCAGTGCAGGTGAGCAATGAAGGCTCCTGGGCCTTCGCTATCTTCACATTATGCACCAGTGATAATTGTGAGTTCCCTTCCTTCCCCAGTAGTAGTAGAAGTAATTTGTGATAAAAATGAAAGGGATCCACACAACCCATGGTGAGTGGAAGCCCCTGTTGCAGGGGAGGAGTTCCATAATAATCATAGATATCTATTATCTAGGTTATGGATCCAAAACAAGGAACTGAGGAATGAGGATTCTTTTCCATGTAGAGTGCCTTGGAACAAGGAGCCTGAGTTCAGCAAAGACCCCAAAGAGGTAAGATTGGGCTTTCAGAAGGCATTGCCATGGAAAGCTTTGATGAACATTGAGTGGTGTGAACAGAGGCGATTCCAGACAGTGCAGCATCAGTGCTGGATTGCCAGGGCAGGACTAAGGCACAGCATCAGGCATAGGAGTGAGAAAGCATTTCCAGAGACAAAGAACTTGGTTCTTAAGGGCTTGTATTAGAATGAATCAAAGATACCTTTTGTTAGGAAAGGCAAGATTTGTTTTTCTTTCCATGCAAAACAGTGCTTTGCTCTGCTTTAGGTGTATTCATGTGCAGCTGTGGATTCCAGTAAACATATCAATACACGGAGCAACATAAAAGATCTGAAGGGGAAGCGAGACAGCAACGGGGGGAAGGCAAAGCCTCCCAAAATGGTGCCACAAACTGGGGGCACAAAGCGAAAGAACGCTGCTGGAGGATATGATGAATCCTCACCCAGCACAGTGAAATCCAGCCTACGGCTGGAAAGCCCTACAAGAAAGAGAGGAATGAGAAGCAGTTTAAGGAAACAAGCAGAAAATAAAGACTTGGCCACTGACATCCTGAAATTACTTTCCCTGGTAAAGGAATGGGGCACAATGAACTCCAAGAGATGGGATTCGCAGCACGTGAAAGTATCTGATGGTTGTGTCACAGGCACCATGCCTCCACATGGCACTCCTGAGCAGGACAGAGGTGTCAAAGCTTCTATTGCTTGTTCTGCTGGGAAAATGAGCTCTGCAATTCAAGAAAATGAGCTCAAATGTGGGACTGAAGAAAAGCAGCTAGAGCAAGACGTGTCCAAAGAGAGTTTGCCAGTTACTCCAAGCACTGGAACGCATCAGTTCAACACCATCAAAACTCTCCCAGGAGGAAAAAGTATCAGGAATGTAAACAGGGAACCAGCAGGAGGTAAATCACTGCTCTCTGGCTGTTGTTTGCAAAAATGAGGAGAGCAATTAACTGAATCCCAATCCTTAGATCTTGCTGCTGACCTTGACCAATGGTCTCATTGCTTTCCTTGTTCTGCTCATAGGAAGTTTTCCTGGTGAAGGAAAAGACAGGAGCTGGCAGATGGAGCCCATCCCCAGAACAGGCGGTAAGTTTGCACAGAACTGCTGGCCAAGCAAGACGTATTCATAATGATCAGGTTTTGTTTCCATAGCAGTACAAGGCAGATTATTCTTTTTCCTATACAAAATCCTCTTTCATAACCCTCGAAAGAATCCTGGCCTAAATGGTGCTTGGGTTTTGTTGCACTGTGTGTAATGGTTCCTTTTCCCTGTGGAAGAGGGAAGTAGAGAAAAGCTGTAACGTTGTGCTAAAGGCTGTAAATGATTTGATGTTCAGTTTGCCATTGTCTGTCCATTAGTGTTACACTTTTCCTCACAAAGACCAAAAAAGGGCAGAACTTCAATAAGATCCATTTTGCGGTCACACAAGAGAACAAGTGTTTGTCCAACACTACTGCATGGGCTTTGCTACAGAACCTAAACTGTACCAATTCACAGAACCGAGGGACAGCCAATGTACCAAAGCTCTCCAGGAAGCTCACAGAAACGTGGGAGTGATTCTGAAAGTTGAACATCCTCCAGTTATAGGCAGTGATGGCTGTCACACGTGGCACGAAGAGAGCATCGTTTATAGCACTCCGCTGGGTGGCATCCAGCTGGAGAAGTCAAACCCTCAGGGGCTACCCGAAGGTAAGGAGATGCACATAGCTGTGGGGTGCTGCTGGGGAGCTGCTAGCTTTACCTCTGTAGCTGACCAGGGGAAAATCAAAAGAACAGAAACAAAGCCCGAGATCAACAGCCTGACATCTGTGTGTGTTCAGGCACATGCTGAGACTGAGCTCAGATTTGAAAACTGATTGCAGGACTCCCTGGGCAGGACAGGCATTAAAGCAGCTGACAGTTGGCTGACTGAAATGTGGAATGCTGCAACCACATCCTTTTTTCCTGATGGTTTTGTTGACGTGTTTCTTGCAGATACCATTTTCCTTCGCTTTGCTCTCTCCCACGAGGAGATGTTCTATGCCAGGAAGTGCCACTTCTTCCTGACCGATGTCATCCTGGACTCCATCAAGCAGAAGGATCCCAAGGAAATCACGGCCAAAGTCATGACCCTTGTGAACAGGCTGTGGGTAGGTCTGAGTGCTCGGAGTGCTCACTCTGTCTCCTCCTTTACCTTGGGAATGTAAGTTTACAGAATGTTAACAAAAACAGAGAGCATTGCTGTGCCTTCCCAACCTCCCCAGGCTCCACTGGGGTGCCAGGGCTTAGAAACTTCAAGGAGAGATGGAGCTCTTCCCTATTTTCCTGTTGTTATGATAATGCTGCTTTCCGTTTTAGACCCAGCAGATCACACCCAAGGTGTTTGTTGATGATCTACTGAGCACAGAATACTTCAAAGGGGACAGAAACGTTCGTGAGCAGCTTCTGAAGTGGGTGGAAGTAAGTAGCACTCGCCACCAGGTGATGCTGTAGGGCTTCTTAATACTCGAACCGGTTTACTCTTCCAGCCGCTTACTAATGAATTAAATAAGGCAGGGGCTTTACAGCACAGATTGGCTCCTGTCACATCAAGCCTTCATAAAAGTTAAAGAGCGTGCTGCTAATTCACGAGACTGTCCACAAAAGGAGGAGGTGGATGGCTCCTGGGACGGATAAGCAACGTGGGGCAAAGGTGATTCTGCAGTCTAACACCACCTCCATCTGTGCTTTTCCAGTTCACGCTGCCCCTGGCATGGAAATACAGCTGCTGCCTCCAGTTGCTGATACAGAGAGGGTTTGCTTGCTCCGTCTCCTCCTTTACCTTGGGAATGTAAGTTTACAGAATGTTAATAAAAATCCTTGAAGCGTGCATTTCTTTTGCAGCAAGTGAGAGGGTACACATCTCTTATCTGAGCTTTAGTTTCCCCCCATCCACCACCCTGGTAAGAAAACAGCATTTCAGTCTCCCTCAGCCTTTAGACAGGGCAGCTGGGTGCCTAAGGGACAACTGTGCTCCCCACGGCACGGCTGTTCCCTCACAGACTGAAATCACCATTCCACACACCAACAAGATTCATATAAAGAAAATAACCTTTATTAGACAAATCCAACCCTGAAAAAAAAACCAAAAAAAACAGCATCAGGTAAACATTAAGGTTTTTGTTTGTGGGTTGTTTTTGTTTTTTCCAGCACTGCAGAAATCTTTGAATCTGAGACATTCAGGAAGTTTGTTTTTATTTTTGCATTGGTAAACTCTTTCCTTCTGGTGACACGAGCTATTGCTGTCTTGACAGCCCCATACCTTGCGTTAACTTAGCAAGGATTTTAAAATAGTAACTTCTAAATGCATCCCAGTGCAACCGTTCCCCACACAATTTCATATACAAAGGTGTCAACTGTCTTCTAGCTGCTGTCTACAAAAAAGTTGTTTTTTTTTTTTTTTAAAACAAAACACATTCACCTTATTAAAAATAAACAAGTGTTTTACATACAGTACAGGAATTTCCAGAGTCAGAGGAACAAGTTTAGGATAACGTGTGATCTGAGTTTGGCTGCTCACAGCCCCTGCAGCTGGCCCAGCAGCAGCCTGAGGTTGCTGGGCCAGCAGCTGCACAATGGAGCGGGGGGGCACAGCTCAGCCCCCAGCACGCAGCCCCCTCCCCTGCCCCCACCTCACCTGGAGGAAGGCACTCCTACTGGGCACAGCGAGCTGGTGGGTTAGTGCAGGAGAGCAGGGGGTTAAGACAGAGAAGCTCAGCACCGAGGCACTGGAAGAATGGTCTGAAGAAAACAATTCACCGTAACAATGAAACTTGCTTTTATTAAAACAGGAGTGTTAAGCCAAGAAAATAAATTATTGCTATGATAGACATATTTAGAACATAAGGAAGGACATTAAGCTCGAGCTCCAGGTCAATATAACCCTGAAACGGAAAGTTACTCTACTTTTCTTAAATACCTTGGTTTCTCGCCCTTCCAAAAACTTTATAAAATGTGCAGCTTACAGAACAAATAGTAACAGGGTCACTTGTAACAAAAATCTGTACAGCACATAGCTTTAAAAATAATACATTTTTTTCAAACAGCTATGTTACTTATTACTTATAAATATAGGGCTAACAAGTTTCAAATGCCCGAGGTCCCATCCAACACCAGAGCTATAAGTGTAGCTGACAGAAACCTTCCTGGGCTTCCCCCTGCCAGAGGTCAGCTTTTGTGCTGTCTGACAGAGCCCGCTTAAGTGTAAAAACATCTTCACAGATGAAGACTGTCTCCTTCTGCTGGTCAGAGGCCTGGGGTCTTCAGTGAGTTTGAAATGGCAATCAAACCTGGAACACAGCACCGTGCAATGGGTTAGACTGGCTGCACTCCTATGAGGCGGCAGGACCCGCAGCCTGCAGCTCCCCAGTTTGGCCAGCTGTGAGCTCACAAAATACTTTAAAGCCACTGTTTGTCAGAGCTGCATTTTGGTGCAGAAAGAGCGTTTTGTTGGAGGAGCCTCTGCAGGAGGCTCTGTTCCCCGGGCTGAGAGCTGCCCTTGTGCCTCAGGACTCACTCAAGGCCATATGCTGCTGTCACTGCAGCGGGCCAGCTAACCCCACTGCAGCTGTGACTGCTTCAGAAGGTCCTGTCTGCCACCTGCCCCAAAAAGGGTTGGGATCCCCAGCCGGACCCAGCTGGTGCTGTTTAGGGCAGTACAACACCCCAACCTGCAGATTACAAGGCATGCGCTCCACTATCGGTCACCCTGTGCCTTGCCCATTCAAGCCCTAATCCTGGGTAACAACATCTAGTGGTTCCCTCAGGACTTTCTGCCCATGACCTAGCAGGATCCTATGATTGGTGCTGCCTACAGTTTCCTTGGAAGGTTCAAAAGAAACTGGTATAAATCCAGCTTGGGAAGAACACCATGGACTCCCCCTCAAGGCAGCTTAGTGGGACAAAAGGAAGAGCAGGATTTTGGCAAACAGCCACAAGAAACAGGTTAGTGGTTAGACAGCTGGACAGCATTGAGAGCAGAGAAGCTCATTTGAGCACTGACGCATGAACAAGGTGGTGCTCAACCTCTGCTACCTGAACATGGTTCTGCTGGTTTTGTTTCTGCTCCTTCAAACCAGAGAGGCATCAGACCTGTTATTTAAGGTGATGGTTCTGGCTGTGGGAGTTGGTCAACTCTAACCAGATCAATGAGAGCCTCAGAGACTGGTCAGGAATGTCCGTGGAAAACTTCTCAGGGGAAGTAGAGGGTGAGGCTCTCATGTCTCAGAGCTCCTAACAAATCTGACCAGCACTTGGAGCAGCTGGAAATCCCCTTTAGGGGCTACTTACAACAACTCCACTTCCTTAGGCCGTATACGTGTGCAGAGGGGATCACACTATTGTCGAGGGAGTTATGGTAGCCTGGCCTGCTTTCTGCAGAGGAGAGAAGCCAGCATTAGTATGGAGTTAGGACAACAGCGTCAGGACACAAGCTAGTAGGAATGGAGGTGGCTGAGAACCCTCAGGAATTAAGAGGAGAAGCAGTTACATCACAGAGCAACAGGCTGCCATTCTTCCCCACTGTTCCATCTCATCGCTCCCCACAGAAGGCCCACACTTCCCAGGTAAGGAGCTCAGCAGCATCTGCGGCACAGCTCCATCCATTCAACCCCATGACGTGCAGTGTCCCCTCCCGACGCAGCCTCCAGCACTGCAGATCCTTTCCAGTGCACCTCCTCAGGGATCTCGGTCATAGAAGGTGAGGCTCTCACAACACGGGGGCTCTCGCCTGCCCCAGAAGAGGCGAGTCTCTGCAGGAGGAAGTGTCACTTCCCCACAGCAACTCCCAGCCCAAAAGCAGCATCTTCAGTCCCCATGTGAGAGGCAGTGCCTTGAACTGGGGAGGCAGTGGTGGGAACGGGCAGAGTGAAGAGAGAGCTTTGGCTGCTTGCACTTACTGCAGAAATGTACTGGCTGTTCGTGAACCGAGGTTTGCCCTCTATCGCAGAGCTGTGTTGTGAGCCCAGAGGCACGTAGGGGGGTGAACCCATGTCTTCACAGAAGCTTTCTTGAGGGATGCTGGAGACACAGCCACTGTCGGAGCCGCTGGAGCCGCTGCCTGACATGCAGTGTGATGACTCAGAGCTCTCTGTGGCTGGGGAAAAACAGGAAAGTCATTCTGAGGACCTACATTCTATTCTGTGCCACACGCACTCAGTAACAAACCCTCCTGCAGAGGCACGGTCACACAAGCCCACTGGTAAGTCTCACAGCTATCTGGGCCACTTTAAAGCCACAGGAAACAAAACATTCTAAGGAAATGTAATAAACAATGCTGGAGACTGAACAGGAGACAGCTTTGCTTGGGGACAGCATGCAGGGCAAGCTCTGCTGTGACTCCAGTGAGCCTGGTGAGACCGTGCAGCAGGGACGAGCACGCAGCACAGGGACACCAAGGGCACAGCCCTGGTGTGCAGCAGCATGGGAGACCCATACGTACTCAGTGATGGCTGGCTGCTCGTCTCATGCTCCAGCTCATCTTCCTCAATGCAGGGGCTGACATCAAAGGGGCGCCGGGGGGCCAGGACACCTGGCAGCAGCGCCTGGTCCAGGTACATGTGCAGATTGAGGGGCCCCAGCAGTGAGGAGGAGGACGGGCCATATGCAGCAGGGGTGCTGCCAGCAGAGAGCTGTGCCTGCGTCCTCTTGTAGGGGTTGGAATGGTCGAAGAGAGACACTGCGATTGATGCTCTGGTCCTGGCAGCTGCCACAAAACACAATGAAAAAGCCATGAGTGCCAGCCTGCTGGGCTCATCTGGAGCAGGAGACAGGCAAGGCTGGCACCTACCTCTGCCTTTCATGATGTAGTCAATAGCACGGTCATTGATAGCAGCCTCACTGGGTTTGATATCCAGGAATGGCTTGTTGCCCACACCCATGGAGACCATCTCCTGCATGCGGATTTCTGTGGGGGAAGAGCAAAATGTTCAACAGCAACCCACAGCTGCCTATCAGGCTGCCCCAGCCCTCTCTGCAGGCATCCTGCTGCCCCAAGGGCAGGCTGCTCCTGAGATATCCCCATTCCATCGGTTCTCCCACCGTTCCCCAGTCCTGAGAAGTCTCCACAAACAAGCAGTCATGCTTTGCTCTGGCCTCAGGGTCCAGTGCCATGCCAGCTGTGAGTGTCCTGTCAAGCAGGAAGCTTGAGGTGGAAGGGAGGGACTCAGCCAGCCTCAGCCAGGCAGCCGCTGCTCCAATAGCAAGGCTGTGGGGAGAACAGTGAGCTTTTCACAAGCGGTGCCACTCTCACGGGGCAGGAAACCCATACTGACATCTCCCATTTCTCTCAGGGCACACAGCCACACAGAGTGCAGACTGCCATCAAGGTCTCTGGGGACAAAGGACAGGGAAGGGACAGCACTCAGCCAACCCCAGCACATGCTCCTGAGGCTGCATGCAGGGACACGGCTGCTTGCTGCACAAAGCTGTCTGGTAATAGGCTCCAAACCTACTCAGAACAGCACGACCGAACGGGGCTCCCGCACCTTTTGCGGCACAGACGCCCTGGGAAGGAATCACACCTTTATTGCGGGCTGCCTGTTGCCACAGGATCTTGGCAATGTCACTGGTCCAGGCCTGCTTGGTCTCAGCTGAGCTGGCCTGGAGGATGTAAGTGTCGCTGGACTTCCGCCTTCGGAACCAGATCTCAAAACGCAGCCCACTGTCCCCAGAGTTTTCTGTCAGACCAATGTCTGCAGTCTGCCAGAAAGAAGAAAGAGCAAATCATCAGCTGGGGCTGCACCAGGAGCAGGAAGGGTGAACTCAGTGGCAGGCAGGGCAGGGGGGAAAGACGACCCGATGAAAGGGGGACACAAAACCTTCAAGGAGAGTGGCCTCCTGCATAAGAGCGGTCTGCACATCTGCCCTTACCTTGAAGGAGCGCTTGTAGATATACACATCAAAGCCACCCTCGATCCTCTTGGGCTTGCTGAACAGGATCAGGTCCTCAAAGAGGAAGACGTGGCGCTGGCACTTCCTGCGGCCCAGCCAGATGGCAAACTCATCCTGCCGCACCAGCTGCCCC